GTAACCTGCGGGATAGCAAACACAAGACATTTCAGGTTACCTCGAAGTCGGCACAGAGCTGATTCATTCCTCATTTACAGCCTGTTAGAGAACAAAGAGGATTGGCTTTGATGACAGGAAATGGGAATGATGTTGAAGCAAAACCTGTGAATGTTTGTTTGTTTTGAAAAGACACATGAAGGTGTTACCTTGGTTCAGATATTCCCAGCACACTCAACATGACCTGCCTGGCAAACTCCTTCGCTATTCACCCTCATAGGTGACAACTGGAGCACAATGAGGGTTAAGTTCCACATTGTACACACAAAAACACGTTATTCCCACACAGAATTTCAGCTGATGCTAAAACATTTTAATTTGAAAGTACCAAAAATGCTTCAAACAACACTTTCGCCAACCTGTGGCCTGAGGTCTTTTCCAGTCTGTTTGATTCTGTGATTCTTTAACTCTGTGATTCTCTGACTCTGTGATTCTGTGGTTGACTGATTCTGATTGATTCTGTGCCTCTTGATTCTGTGATTCTGTGATTGTTATTGATTCTGAGTTTGGATTCTGTGATTGATTCTGTGACTCTGATTGATTCTGTCTCTGTGATTCTCTGACTGTTATCAATTCTGTTACTCTGATTCTGTCTCTGTGATTCTCTGACTGGACTGTTTTCTGTGACTGATTCTGTCTCTGTGATTCTGTGACTGTTATCAGTTCTGTGGTTGATTCTGTGATTGATCCTGATTTTCTGATTGATTCTGTGACTCTCTGACACTGCTTATGTGATCGGTTCTGTGAATCTGGTATTGATCCTCTGTGATTCTGTGACTGAATCTGTGAATCTGTGACTCTGATTCTGGAATTGTTATTGATTCTGACTGATTCTGTCTCTGTGATTCTGTGACTGTTATCAGTTCTGTGGTTGATTCTGTGATTGATCCTGATTTTCTGATTGATTCTGTGACTCTCTGACACTGCTTATGTGATCGGTTCTGTGAATCTGGTATTGATCCTCTGTGATTCTGTGACTGAATCTGTGAATCTGTGACTCTGATTCTGGAATTGTTATTGATTCTGTGACTCTGATTGCTCTTGATTCTGTGATTCTGCCTCAGTGCCTCTGATTCTGTTATTGATTGCAACTCTGTGATTGCTCTTGATTCTGTGATTCTGCCTCAGTGCCTCCAATTCTGTTATTGATCCTGTGATTCTGACTCAGTGCCTCTGATTCTGTTATTGATCCTGTGATTCTGCCTCAGTGCCTCCAATTCTGTTATTGATCCTGTGATTCTGACTGTGCCTCTGATTCTGTTATTGATTCTGTTATTCTGACTCTGTGGCC